AAATTTCAATGTAGTGGAGAGATCGATACAGTGGAGGGGGTAGTACTAACGATCGAGAAAGTAGGGGAAAAGGCCGCCAGTTCGCCACTTAGCCGACCCAGGCCTAAAATATGAGTACAAAATCATATAGAAATAAAAGAGCAATAAGAATAAGAAGCGTCAGCTTCCGGTAATAGATCTGAAGATTCTTTATTAGATTCTGACTTGGACGAAGATCATCCATTAATACAATATTTACCCAACGATGTGAAAATATTATTGACAGCGACGATGAATTTAGTATAGGAGTGAAAATGAAATATTCGAAACGCAACGTATATCTATGTTTAACGCCGAGCAAAAACTTCTTTCGTGGAATTATACTTAAGCTTTTATACACACGAGTGCAAACGTTACCTCAAAGTTACAAAACGTACTCGGTATAATGAAATCGTTGAAACTACTTGAATTCATCGTTAATCTGAATTTACGCGTTGATTTTATTTGTTGATTTTACGTTACATAAATTTTTTTATAATTATGGAAAGAACTCGGCCCACAGAGAGTTAATTCGCCATGGTATTTAAAAAAAATCGTACGAAATATCTTCTCATGTTTGAAGAGAGTCTCCTCTCTTCCATCGACGATGAGACCCGGTAATCGACAATGTGAAAATTACTGGCGAGAAATGTCGTTCGACGCGATCCTGGAAATACTCCGCTAGAATGTTGCCACGTGCAGAATTCGCGGGAGAACACGAAGATTTGTAATAACATTGCAAAGTTGCAAACGTTCCTAAAATTCCCAGAGCGCTCTCGAGCTGTTCGAGAATGTTGCGAAGCTCTTTGGGGGCGGGGTCGCGGCTTTCAACAATGTCGTAAAAACTGTTTCGTAGCTTTTTGGCGGAATTGCCTCGGCTACTTTTCATCTCCGTGCCTGAAGTGAAATGCACGGAGAATCGTGTTGCCGCAGTGTTCTTTAAGTCTGTGAAATATACTGGAAAAATGCGAAGGCGCAATGATATTTGTTGAAAATTCGAGGTCAACCTGTTTTTGTTACTTCACTGTCGTGCGTGGTCTCGCTGCATTAACGCGGTCCCGAGGCAAATATTTTAAACCTTATCACTCAAGCTGTCAGACAACGTTGTCAGTCACAAACCGACGTTTTACTCTGACCAACAGCATCGGTGTGATAAGGACTAATATACAAGGTGTCCCAGATTTTTCCACGATTCGTCGGGAGTTCCCTGGGCCACGTGTAATTTTCCGTGAAATTCACACAATCGTGGAATCGATTTTGGAAGATAAAAACTCATGAATATCCCGCGGACGTGAGTTGAGAAGAATTTGTAAGCAAAGGATGGAATTGTGTTTTATTTCACTGCAAAAAAAAAAAAAAAAAGGAGAGAAAAATAACGAAACGCTCCAGTTAGAACTGCAATGTCGAGCAAATGTGTTGAGACTTCCCACAATGTTAGGACTCGTTGAGAGTCTACCACACACGACGGTTGGAAAACTCTACGGCTCATTAGTCTGGCTAACCGAGCCTCGCAGAGTTATGTGAGAATAAAGCGAGATCTATGCGAATGATATAAACCAAAAACCGAGCGGAGCCATAGTCATTCGTCACTGCGTTCGGAACTATCCTCGGCAGTTGCTTGCTAGACTGGAAAAAATCGACGCGGTAGACAACTCTAACGAGTGTAATAATTTCGCGGCGGTATTTAAATTTCAAATTTCGCATTTCGTCAGTGTTATGCTTATCGACGAAAAATAAAGAAACCATATCTTCCCTGAGAAACAATTTTTTATTCTTCAATTTCATAAAAATAGTGATACATCATATATTAACAGAGTGCAAGTAGCGTTTGGAATCTACTTGTTTGAAGTTCACAATTGTCGGCCGAAATTTTTGTGATTAAATGTTTAGAAACATATTCTAGGTGTGATTCGTGTGTATAATCATTTTCAACAAAAACGGTAGCGTGGAGTTCTGATGCCAAATCGAAAAACCTGTTAAATCTTTGTAGCTGTATAGAATTTGAGAATTGGGTGTTGATACAATTGATCTAACACAAAATTAGTATATCAGACTTTTGTTATTTTTGTCCATTAATTCTACTTCATTAACGACAGAATGAACGTTTGATGTGATTTCATAATTGTTTCATTCGAATTCATGGCCTGTGGAGACCAACTTGGTCTCTTAATTAGATTAATATTTAAAGGAATAATTAGGATCATTGAAATAACCATTTCGTTGACGTTCTTTCTTGAATAAATGTATAGTAGATAGGTATCGGTTTTTCAATATATTGCAATACGCACAAAGTTTGCCATGGTTTCTCTTATTTGCGTTATCGAACAAGAACCGGTTTCGAATTCTATTTATGGTAACGTTGTAAACATTGTCAGTGTAAATATCTAGTTGGAAGATTCAAAGATCACGGAACATGTGCCTTTTTTTTGCACTTTAACAGACACGATGATTGCTCGCGCATACATTTCTACAACAAAATTGCGATATGCACGGATAACATGTACATATAAGCAGAGGATGATTCTTCGCGAAGAAATATATATGTATATAGGAGAAAGGATATAGAACAAAATTTTTTGACCTGAGGTATTAGAGATATTGTATTAGAGATATCTCATCAGTAATGTCGTTTCTTCAAATTTAATAAACTGCCGTCTAGTGACAATCATTTAACTTATTATAACATAACCTGTCTATCACAATAATTTAATTTATTGTAACATAACCTATATTATAACTTAACTTATCTATCACAATAATTTAAATTGTTATGATATAACTTATATACCAGAATAATTAAATTTATTGTAACATAACCTATATTATAACATAACATATCTACCATACTAATTTAACTTATTATAACATAACCTATATTAACATAACTTATCTATCACAATAATTTAACTTGTTATGACATAACCTGTCTATCACAATAATTTAATTTATTGTAACATAACCTATATTACAACATAACCTATCATTATCTATCATAATAATTTAACTTATTATAACATAACCTATATTATAACATAACTTATCTATCAGAATAATTTAACTTATTGTAACATAACCTATATTATAATATAACTTATCTATCACAATAATTTAACTTATTATAACATAATCTATCTATCAAAATAATTTAACTTATTGTAACATAACCTATATTCTAAGTTAAATATATTGACATTTAGTGCGCTTATTGTCAAATTATATTATAGATTAAACCTGTGTTAATTCTTGAACAAAATAAAATTTTGCGCAGTATCAAAAAGCGACATTGCTTATGGATACCTCTAATATATGTTATATCGACGCATCCCGTATAACCTACATATGTTTCCTAACATTTCTCAGTGAGTATTATTCGATTCAAAGGTGGATTGGAATATTTTTTAGAAAAAATTCGATTTGAGGATAATCGCAAATTTCTCGATGTTCTCGATGTTCTTCAACGCGTTTTACACGTTTCAGAATAAACTTCGACGAGGCAAACGATACAGTAAGCGTGCCTCGTGACTTACAACTCGAGTGAACGTTCCTCGGCTCGTATCATCCGACGCATCTCCTACGCGTAAACTGGAATGATGCAAGCGTATGTCTGTTTGAAGTGTAAAATCACTGCGGCTTCAGTGGCGCGTCTCTAGTTCTCTCCTTGCAAATTACAAAAGGCCATACGCCGTGTAATATAAATGTGATTATCTCGTTACGTTCGCGCAGACGTGTGCCCTGCTTCAAATTTCGTATCTTTATTTTAAATGCAAATCCAGCTTTTTCAACGGGTTGTTCCTCACCGAGGTCGTTTAATTGGTTTCCACAGCACGCGTAATCATCAACGAAGAAAAAATATACCTTTCGAATGGAAGTGACGAATGGCTAGTTCCGCAAGAATGCGAAATTAGGTCATTTATACACGCGAAATATTCTTGAATAAAATGAAGCGCGAGGTGTACCCATGAGCGATCAATTTTTGTTCACAGAGCTCACTTGGTCGTTAGTTCGAATCGCGCCAGTGACTATGACAATATATGTCATTCCGTATAAAAAAGAAAAGTGAAGGTGACGTTGAGTTCTTCACCTACAAAAAAATCATCTCTGTTGTGTTATGGGTGTCCCTCTGTGCCGAATGACCTTTTTATATCCTCAGAAACAACGGATATAATATTCAAAGTTATTCAGACACCTTGTATAAGCATTCGTACTTTTCATATCCTCAGAAACAACGGATATAATATTCAAAGTTATTGAGACACCTTGT